TTGTTAGACAGTTTTGTATGCCCTTAGCTCCAATCAGATTTGATGTACTTTTGACATTTAGTGTAAATAAATAAAGTACATGTTTGATTCATGTTGTGTGGTATATTTCTGTGTAAGACCCTTAAACTGAATACTTAATGAGACTCGTGTTAGTTTAGAACATTCACAGCCGTTGGATAAGTCTGGGGAGATTTATCCTGCCAAGGCTAACACTGGTGTGCTGCCAAGTGTTGGGGTGGTTTGTCTCAGCCGCCAGGGTAAGACCCAAGGCACATGCAATGTAGGATTATTTGAATCCTTGAACCGGACTAGATTTCCAGTATTGCCCTGGACCTTGGAGATAGATTGGAAAAACTGGAAAGTTACACCTGACCCCTAGACTCGATTATGATACTGTACTAGGTGTAGGATTGAGCTGTCTTTGATATGCCAATCAGTGAGAATCTTAGTGGGGGTCAAAACCTAGATATGTTGGGACAGTCTGAGAATTCATCTGAGTGGGTGATCTTAGTGACAGGATCAGCCCCTTTGCCGGACAAAGGTAATGATCGGGGATGCACTCTCTCTGATGGAAACCAAACTGCCGGCAGTTGAGTTCAATCGTTGGAATTTTGTTTTGCAAATTTTATATATATGATATATAGATATGTACGGTTTCAAAATGTTTGCAAATGGTTTTAATTCCTGGGATCCATGTGAGTAGAGAGTGCATCACTGTTCCTTGCAGCCGAGGGAGAGGTCCTCTCTTGTCAAGTAGTGCTTGATCTTTATGGGCTGAGAGGTTAAGTGTAAGACCATTTAGGGTAATGCCTGATGGGCAATTTTGCATCTGCCCACAGTCCATGGGTTTTTATAAGATGGCTTGGCCCAGGGACCACTTAGTGTAAGTGTTGGGCCCATAGGGTCCATGTGATGGGCTCAAGGGGTTCACTGGGCTTTCTAGTGAATTCGGTTAAGCCTTGTAATACAGACTGGGCCGAACCCGTGTGGCTGATGTGTAGATCAATGCTTGGGTCCCACGCCATACAAAGAAGCCTAATTGGGCAGCAGTTTGGAAACTAGTTGAGCACTTAATACTTATTGGGCCTAAAGCCCATTTCGAACTGGGGCTGATAGGATCACCCACTTATGGGGCGGATCTGAGATTAGGGTTAGCTGAAAGGATTAGGGTTTTAACCCTATCCACTCTTGGAGACCAAATTCAAATAAGATTTGAATCTGGTAATCTCCTGATAAGATCAGGAGTAGGCTAACCTAATCTGCAGATAGGATTAAGATTATCCCCTATCCAAATACAGATTTGGATTGGGATAACTCCTAATAGGATTAGGAGATTTCTTAATCAAGAAAAAAGAGGAGAAACCCTAATGAGAATCAACAGAATTCGATCCAAGGGTTTTTGCAGAACAACCTCCTACGAATTGAGATAGGATCTCAGATACTCCAGAGTGAAGAAAAGCAGTATACGCCGACTTCATCTCTGCAGTTCTCCTCCAGCCGCCGCCATTCACTGCAAGATTCGATCTGTCTGAGAGGGAAAGATCAAGGAGTTCTTGATATCAATCTTTGCTGAAAGACTGATTCAGTTCGGTGCTCATAGTTTCCAACGAATTCTTGTGAAGCGTTCGGTGCGTAGGACGCACACTGCTGGTTTTGTTCCACCGTTGCTATGTCATCTTCAGCAAGAGCAGATCTTGGACCTCTTTTTGGGCGTGAACACCAACATTGGGAGATACTGATTCTCCGTATCAGGTATAACCCTTACCTTTGCATTTGGTTCAGATCTGGTTTGGTTTTGGTTCAAGTAGATCCTTGAATAATGATTCTAAAATCAGGGAATATGACCCAGTTGGAAGAAAGGTAGGAAATTTTTGAAATTCGCCCCACCCAATTCCGCAACCTTCTTGGCGTCCAAACGATGGATCCCACCATTCTTTCAGTGGTATCAAACCCACAGGTTCGAATCTTGAACCAAGAAATCAGATCGGACCCTGCGCAATTTGGTAGAAGCTGTTCTATCCGGGTATTGCGCAGATTGCAGTTTATTTCAAGAAACTGTTTCTTGTCGAGGGCGATTGGTCTGAAATTAATTTTATTAAATCTAAAATTTATTTGGAATTGTTCTTTATTTATTTCTTGATTTAATGGGCTGTTCGTACCTGGAGATCGAAGTGCAGATTTGGCACAGATAATCTGCACAATCTTTTTGCATTTTCTATTCTATTCGGTCTGTAAAATAATTTTTTTTCTAGACTGAATGTATAGGATTCAATCAATGATGTAATTAATTAATAGAAATAGGATTTTTGTAATTTTTTTTTATTTTTCTTGATTGGAGAAGAGAAGGCGGCAGCGCTGGAGATTCGCAGATGGAGGGATTACTTTCTGCGTTTTGCAGTTTGTGAAACTGCAACCCTGGTGACTAACCTTTGTTTTGCAGGTGGTATGAATAGTCCTTATCTGATTTATGATTGTCTAAAATCAGAAATATTAATTTCAAATCCTTCTTGAATTAATTCTTGAATTGAAAATCAGTTCCGAACCATCTCGGACCAGATTGGATCAAAACTGTTTGGACCGAATCTAGGGTTCGAAAGGGGACTGTTTTCAGTCCAGATTTCTCACACTTTCATATCCAAAACTGATGGTCAATTGTAGGGATTAATTCGGCCCCACTGTTGTTGTGTCATCTTCAGCAGGAGTAGATCTTGGACCTCTCTTTGGGCGTGAACACCGACGTTGGGAGATACTGATTCTCCGTATCAAGTATAACCCTTCCCTTTGCTTTTGGTTCAGATTTGGTTCGGTTTTGGTTCAAGTAGATCCTTAAATAATGATTCTAAAATCAAGGAATATGATTCCCAATTAGAACAAAGGTAGGAAACTTTTGAAATTCGCCCCACCCAATTCCGCAACTTTCTTGGCATCCATACGATGGATCCCACCATTCTTTCACAGCTTTTCGGTTAAACCAGCCGGTCAGCCGGGTTAAATCGGGTTTTGAGCAAATCCGGTTTTTGGGGTGTGACCAAACTTGTCAGGGCCCTAGGTCATGGTTTAACCAGTTCGACCGGACGGTTCTGTCTGGTTTTCTAAACATTGGTTATGCAACCACCACCATTTCTGATCTTTTGCTCTACCTTAGTTCAAAACCCTCATTAATGATGTGCTAAACCATATTGATAGCTGAACACCCATGAATAATTAACTTTCCCACCATTCAAAAYCCTCATCTTGTATGAATGGTTTAAAATGTCTAAATATTTCCTAGTATTGCCACAAAATGTTTCCATTACATGAGTATCAAGTTATCA